TTCCTTAGGACTAAAATCCGCCCTTCCCTCCCTCCTTCCTCCTTCCTTCCTTCCTTCTCTCTCTCCCTTTATTATACAGTATTTTTCTCCTATTTCTTCTTTCGCCCTCATCTTTTCATATTCTCTTCCCTCCTTGGTGATATACTGCCTCCATCCCTCTTTCTCTCCCTCCCCTCAGAACTAAACTCCTCCCTCTCGTTATTTTCCTCCTTCTCCCTCCCATTCGTTGTTCCCACCCTTCTCCTCCCTCTCGTTGTTCCCTCCTTTAGTCGTGTTCCTTCCCTCTCTCTGCAATTATTAAAGTTTAATTTGTTCTGTTCATTTCGAAATTCCTTGACCCAACCCGGAAAGAAACGTGTTTTTGTTACCGTGTACGTATTAGGAACTGTTGAACAAGACGTGGGTGGTGAGGTCTGCAGGAGGAACACACACACACACACACACACACACACACACACACACACACACCAGGTTCAGATCCAGGAGCTTCATCTAATCATCGTCCTGTTGACCTGCTCTAAAGACACGCCCTGTTGACCTGCTCTAAAGACACGCCCTGTTGACCTGCTCTAAAGACACGCCCTGTTGACCTGCTCTAAAGACACGCCCTGTTGACCTGCTCTAAAGACACGCCCTGTTGACCTGCTCTAAGACACGCCCTGTTGACCTGCTCAAGACACGTCCTGTTGTGCTCCTAAAGACACGCCCTGTTGACCTGCTCTAAAGACACGTCCTGTTGACCTGCTCTAAAGACACGCCCTGTTGACCTGCTCTAAAGACACGCCCTGTTGACCTGCTCTAAAGACACGCCCTTTTGACCTGCTCCAAGACACGCCCTTTACCACAACACAAACAACATCATTACAAGCATTCACCAGCACCACCACAAGCACTCACCATAAATAGGCTGTTAGAGTGTCACGCCTCTTACCCTCTCGTCGTTAAATAAGTGGCCGTGTCGTTAGCCTCAAGCCTTTCCCAGGAGCCTTACATACAGTATCCATGGAGCTGAAATTAAGAGTCTTCTGGGTTCATAGGGAGTGCTCTCTCTCTCTCTCTCTCTCTCTCTCTCTCCCCCCCCCCTCTCTCTCTCTCTCTCTCTCTCTCTCTCTCTCTCTCTCTCTCCTCTCTCTCTCTCTCTCTCTCTCTCTCTCTCTCTCTCTCTCTCTCTCTCTCTCCTCTCTCTCTCTCTCTCTCTCTCTCTCTCTCTCAGGTGAAGCGTGTAAGGTAGATAAGTTTTGTTTACATTACGGGAAAGATTTTTAGCAAGTCTCTCATATAGTTCTGGAGTCTTGAGGGGTCACGGTGTCCGTCTGTCCTCTAGTAGTGGTGATAGTAGTGGTGGTGGTGGTGATAGTGGTGGTGGTGATTAGTGAATAGGACATTAATGGTGGTTGTGGTGGTGTAAGGGGTGGAGTCGGTCATTGTTGGTACCCCCCTATATGGACAACCATCCTGTGTTGGGCGTACCCTAGCCATCCAAAGTGCCCTCCTCCCCTTACTTCACCTGTCCTCCCTCACCTCACGACTCTCACCTCACCTTACGTGTCTCTCAACTCACCTTATCTCACCTCCCTCATCTTATCTCTCTCCCTCACCCCCCCCCCTTTCCTCACTTCACAATTTTGACAACAGCATAGCAGTTTATGTTGACGATTTGTGTAATAATTTCTTAAAAGGAATTATCTGACGGGAGTAGAGGAAGGCAGACTCATATAGACAGACAGGGGCATAGACAGAAATAAAAGGGTATTACGCTTTTAAGACTCATGTGGTACTGGTGTGTGTGTGTGTGTGTGTGTCCTTACCGGGATCATCTTGGGGGTGTTCTGCACAAGGAAGTGATGAACTGGTTGTTGTGTGTGTGGGCGAGGGTGTTATCACGTTAGGTTGCCCAGGGCCCCTTTAACCCTCCTCGCCCTTCCTCCGTCTCTCCCGCTTCCCCCTCCCCTTCTCTCTCTTCTCTCCCCCTTCTTCCTCCTCCCGCTTTCTTCTCCCTCTTCCCCTCCTTGTTTCTTCCCCTCTTCCCCTCCTCCTTCTTTCTTCCCCCTCTCCCCTTCCTTCCTCTCTCTCTCCCCCCTCTTGACCATCCCCACCCCTCCTACCATCCTCTCTCTCTCTCCCCCCCCCTCTTCCCCCCTCTCTTCCCTCCCCCCTCCCTCTTTCACCCCTCCACCTACTCACAAACCGCAGACTGACCACGCCTGAACCCTGGAATAGGCGTAACCCAAAACTAGTCTGGATAACCTAACCTAACTTTTTACTCTGGTCTTAAGTATTTGTGAGTCAGTTGGTTAGTTATGCTGTTAGTACTAGCTCACACAACTAGCTAATATCACCTGTTTCATTTACTAAGATAACATACTGGGATACGTGTTAACATAGGTAGTGACAGCAGCTATACATACGGTGCTGTTCTTGTTTGGTTAAGCCCTGTGGTGATGGTTGTTTGTGTCGTTTGGTTGATTTGTTTTTGTCTACAAGGTGACAAGTGCGTCCTAGCCTAACCTAACACAACACAACCTAACCTCTTTTATTTCTTCATTATCCTCTTATTTTTTTCGTTCTCTTGCCTCTTCTCTTTCGTCCTTCCTCCTCTTCCCCCTCCTCCTCCTCGTCCCTTGCATAGCCCCTAACCACTGCCACTCCCCATCCCCCCGCCAGTAGAAACACCCCTTGCCCACTCCCTCTCTCACTCCCTAAACTCCTACCGTGCCCACAACCCCCATGTTCACCCCCCCCGACACACACACACGGGGCAGCGGAAGTAACGGGTACCTTAATAGGATGCCCAGAGCGTTGGGTTTTCCCAAGCAGCCTCTCACTCGCCTCTCCCTCATCTCTCACTCGCCTCTCCCTCACCTCTCACTCTCCTCTCCCGCACCTCTCACTCGCCTCTCCCTCACCTCTCACTCGCCTCTCCCTCACTTCTCACTCGCCTCTCCCGCACCTCTCACTCGCCTCTCCCGCACCTCTCCCTCGCCTCTCCCTCCTGCCTCTCTCCGCCTCTCTCACCTCGCCTCTCCCCTCACCTGCCTCTCCCTCACCTCTCACCCCGCCTTCTTCCTCCCTTCCCTCTATCCTCCACCGCTTTTCCTCTCTTTCTTACTCCGTTCTCCCTCCTCCTCCTCTTTCTCTCCCTCTCTACTTATCTTCCGTCCTGTCTCTTCTCTCTCCCCTCTTCCTTCCTCTCTCCCCTCTTTCCTCCTCTTCCATTCTCCCTCCCCCTCTTCTCCTTCTTCTCTTCCTCTTCCCCCTTTCTTCCTACCTACTGCTAATTTAGGTTCAGTGGTTCGAAAGAGAGAAAGTGAGAGTGAGTGAGTGAATGATTGAGTGTATGTAATCCCTTTGTTTACATTAATACCATGGGCCCTGACAGGTGACCTTGTGTGTGTGTGTGTGTGTGTGTGTGTGTGTGTGTGTGGAAGCGGTTATTAAAAAAAAAAGCATTAGAACTGGATCAATTCCTTGCAGCCTATACTCGTATAAGCGAATACAAAAGAAGGAAAGAGTACAGTAATGTTGAGTTAGATACAGGTAATTACATTTAAAGACGAGGATGTAAAAGGCACGCAGGACAAGATCATAAAGGTAGGAACAGTTTCAGGGTTGAGAGGAGGGGGAGACGGTCAGCCAAGGTCAGCGTGTTTCTCCCAGTACAGGATGGACACGGATGTTGACATGACACACTAAAAGAATGAAACTGTTATTTTGTTATTTGTTGGTAAATCATAATTGGGGGGTCACAAATCATTTATATTTCTTTAGTGATAAGGACAAAGTGTCAGAATTCGAATTTTGGATTATTTGTGGTCGCTGGAAAGATTTTTATTGCAGTATTATTATTTATATACTGTACTTCATAAAACAATAATGAAGTTTTTCTTATATGTAAGTTATTTAGATTTGCTGATTTACTTTCTTCACAGACACACTACATATGTATGGTAATTTCAGTGCCCGATAGCTGGAGTATGGTGTGAGTGTAGGAATTTCCTGAGTAATACTGTACTGAAACTCGTCCTTTGTGTTGGCAGTGTCATGGGTAGAGTAAGGGTATGCCAACTTGAAATTAATTTGCCTGAGTTTTGTGCAGTTTTTGTTACAGGTCAAACAATTAAGACACCTATATTATGGCCTAATAGCTTCAGAATTTGTTTTTCCTGTATTAAAATTGCTAAATAAAGTAAAAATAAATAAATAAATCACGAGACTTGCTAAACATTAAAAGATGTACTGTGCTTCAGGGAACCAACACCCTTGAGAGGCTCGGCAGGGTGGTGTAGGTCAGGGCCACACATAAGTTATCATCTACCTATGTCACTTGGGTCTTCACTGTGTCTTGATCACTTCATTTGGCTACCGCGTTTATATGCCTAATGGTGATATGGTACTCAATCCTTGGGATAATTCTCGGCTCTGTATTTAGTGTTTAATGAGTGGTAGCTCTGGCTGGGTTGGCAAGAAGAATACTCTCCCCTCCTCCCTCACACATTCCATCCACGTTGTTTTTTCTTGCAACAAAGCGAGGCAAGAAACCTAGTTCGTGGAAGCAGTAACCTTGGGTGCGTGCCTCCGTTTTTTCATCAGGGCATCTTGTGAATGCAATAATTTGACCTTGTGGATTTTGATGAAAACATGTCATGTTGATGGAACCCTACAATATCTTGAACTCATTCGACAATCAGTGTACTCCCACAGTACAGTATTAGGAGGCAATGACGTGTTCCGTTTCTTGGGCGACAGACAACCCTAATCTTTCGCGAGAATTGACCGTAGGCTAATTCCCGTAAAAAATTAAAAATAAAAAGATTTCGTTTGCAGGAAAATAGTATTTACTTTATTGCCCATGTAATAATTTCGACGGTTTTCTCCGAATCTTTTACGGGTATCAAGTATTACATTATTATTGCCGTAGTATTATTGTTGTTTTGTTGTAGATGTGATATAGAATAATATACTGTAATATTAATGCAGTGTTTCCCTCCGTTTCTTGACAGTCAGCGGTGTGGCTTGACAGATGAAGACCTTAACCGTCGATGGCGGGCCCCTGACCCCACCCTCCACCCAACCATTTACCATGCTAAGGTATGGTATGTGTGAGAGAGAAAACTAACAGTAAGAACACTGGCTTTGGAATACAAAAACATAGAACATATTTAACCCTCTTAACATACTTTTTTTTAATTCTGATATTTCATATTTATTTATACCCAAATTCGTGTGTTGTACAGTATATCTGTCTTCGCCTTTCATCTACTGCCACTTATCCTATGTGTGTGAGTGTGTGTGCTTGCTGCTCATGCATTAATGTGTCCTGGAGATGAAGTTGTGTTATATCCACATGTTCCATAGGTAGTCATTATTATTATTATTATTATTATTATTACAGATATATTTCTTTACAGTCGTTGTTTTGTAGTAGCCCTTGCTTTATGGTGATGTGAAGCCAATTAGTCCCAGAATCCCACTGAGAGATTTTTTAATAAATAAAAAGTTTGGGACATAATCAGAAGTGTGTTGTCAGATCTCTTCAGCAAGGCCTTTCCTTACCAGTTAAAGAAGGATTACTGTACTGTATCATAGTTCACCTCTTTCCACAGTCGCTGCTAGAATACCTGACAACAGTAGTAAAGCTGAAGGTCCGTGTGTTCTGCGATTTCCACGGTCACTCCCGCCAAAAGAACGTCTTCATGTACGGCTGTTCTCGCCTCCAGTCCTGGTGGCCGGGTGACAGGGATCTCCCTGATAGTCCTGACTTTATGGTGCGTGGGAATTACTGTACTGGCTTAAGCCTGAAGGTCGTGTGTTTATTTACGTAATTTCAGTTTTATTAGTCAATTTTTACTATTTAATTATAAATTCATTGTAAGAAAAGATTTTATGAGAAGCTTTTAAGGTCTTTTTGACATTTTTTAATCACTGTTGAACAATGGTAAGGGGTAACCTAGTAAAAGTATTGTATATTCCAGGGTAAATAGTGCCGTGAGTAAGCGCTAATATATACTGTACAACACAACACAGTACAGTATACATAAACATGCACGCATTATGTATATAAGAAGTATGTACTGTACTTTATCCTATTTCTCACAATTTGAAGGGTGGCATTACCCATACCCGAAGAGTTACTCGAGACCAGGGTAATCTGTTCACCTCTCCACGTGTCGCTGCCGAACATTATTAATACTTTAAGTGAGGTTCAATTCAGATGTTTGTAGAGTATTGGTAGAGTTCAATAACGATAGCACAAAATATTACTGTGGCGTGGGATGGTTTTATTGTTTTCATAGTGTAAATCCTGTATAGTTTATTGGTTATGGGGTAGTTATGAGTGCAGTGTAGTGGTTATTATGTAGTTATGGTGGTTGTATAGTGGGTATGGTGTAGATGTTAGTGAATTGGTTATAGTGTAGGTGTGCTTGTAATGATTATAATGTAGGTACAGTGTAATGGCAGTGTTACAGTGGGGGTGTAGTGTTGCAATGTAGGTACAATGTAATGGTGTTGGTGTAGTGTCAAGTGAACTAACCTTAGTATAAACACTTTCAGCTTTTGCCACAACTCGCTCAAAACTGTATGGGGACATTTTCCCTGCGTGACTGCCACTTCTTAATAGAGCGAGCGAGGGAGGCCACAGCTCGTGTGGCCGTGTGGAGGCAGTTTGACATTCCCATGTCTTACACAATGGAGGCATCTACCTGCGGCTGTGATCAAGGTCCATATAAAGTTAGTACCAGTTTTCTCTTTCTATCAATCAATCTTTACTCCATTTTCCAAGTGAACAGCTAATTACAAAAGGACCAAGAACTAAAATAATTTATTTGTATTATTTACTGTATAGTATTCACAATTAAGTGTGTTGTTTTGAGTCGAATTTTACACACACACACACACACACACACACACACACACACACACACACACACACACACACACACACACACACACACACACACACACACACACACACACACACACACACACACACACACACACACACACACACACACACACACACACACACACACACACACACACACACACACACACACACACACACTTTAAAGTTGATTTTTAGGTGACACCAATGACGTTACAGGTCTCAGGCTCAGTTTTCTCATGAAAGAGAATTTATTTCTGGAAATAATGAATCATACTCTGTGGTTATGTCTCCCATCAAATGGTGCTAAATTAATGAAAGGGGAATTTTTTTTAATTCTTTTTATCCTACAAAACCAACTGTTAAAATTATTTGCTGCTAAAAATTACAATCTTTTTCTCATAGACCTATCTATATGAAACAATAAAAAAAAGTATTGATAAAATAAATACTGTACTGTATTAGTAATGCATTACTATTCACTTTCAGAACAACCACCTTAGCACAAAACAATTATTAGAGTCAGGTGAAGGCTTCTGTCTTGCCCTCTCTTATCTTGTCTCTGCCCCAGAAGCTGTCAACTCTCAGCTCAAACTCAATTCAGACAGGTATAGTCTTTCCTTCCATTATGTTGTTGTTTGGTATAATTGGCTTTATTGCTTTTAATGTTGCTTTTGCATTATGTGTTACATTACTGGTAGTGCATATAGATACCTTTCTGTTGGAATAAGTAAGTTAATTATAAAAATTTTAAGAGATGAATTGCAGGAGTTTTTCTCTTGACATTTGTAAAAAAAAAATTATAAAATTTGGAAGAAATTCCTTTTTTTTATGTGAATATGCTGTATTGACCTGAGCTTCCTGTTTTAGAAAAGTAATAGTTTTATAAGAGTTTTTTCCAATCTGATTTAGACATAATCACTTTGATTAGTTTTTCGTAAGACATAAGATGAAAATGTAGTCATGCCATTAATTTGTTTTTTCTTCTGTTTTAACCTGTGGGTGCTATTCTTCTCTTTAATTCTGTTCTATGTTATGAGACACAATTTCTCTTACCAAAGATATAAATATAATTACTTATAACTTGATGTATGTTGTAGCCATTTCAGTACTACATTATTAGTGTTGCTGTGCCATGTGTGTACTGTATTCTAGATACAGTAAACTGTATTTATTGAAAGTAACATTTCAATACATGTTTAAGTTTTTATCTGTTAAAATTTTAACAGATGGTATGCATTGTTTCAAGTGTCTCAATTGCATTTTTTTCTTCAATCTTCAGCACTTCAGTAACTGCACTGTAAGTTGTATTGTGATGCCAGACAGACTAAAGCATGAAGGATTAACTTAGCATCTGGTAATGTCTTTTCTCCTAGTGATGATGATGAAGCTGACTGTGGTAGTGATAGTGATGATGAGTAGGTGGTGGTCAGGTCAAGCCTAGTGCAGAGACCAGCTTGGAGAAGTGGTCTTCTCTGCTTTCTCCAGGTAAAACTCTGAGGGAGGGAGGGCAGGGTTGTGGTGAAAGAGTGCACAGAATCCCTTGATCCAAAACAGCAGATTGAGCAATAGATTTGAAGCCTTTAAAGACCTAAAGTTTTCATGGCCTGTTTGTGCTCAGTGATACATGAAGAGTACTCTCAACCCTTTCCATTCAAAATCAGTTCTGTTTTTATTTGTGAACACCTACACAGGAAATGTTTGGCTATATGTCACATAATTTACTCATTATTACATACAGTATTTGTTTTAATTATATAGCTTTCTTGTCTAAAGTAGTAATTTATTTACTGTGGAGCTCAGATAATCTAAAGGGAAATCTCATTTTTATTAAGTGGCTCGTGACCAAATTCATTCTTCCGGACATTTAGAAGGAGTTTCCTTAAAATCAATATTGAGTAGTGTACCCTAAGAAATACATACACTAGTACAGTACAGTATAGTGAAATGCCCCCCCTCAAAAATTATATATATATATATATATATATATATATATATATATATATATATATATATATATATATATATATATATATATATATATATATATATATATATATATATATATATATATATATATATATATATATATATATATATATATACAGTGGGGTATATACTATAACGAATGGATCCTACTACGAATATTCCTATAACGAACGGTTTTACCTATAAAATTGAGAATGCTATAACGAATGAAACTCCTACAACGAACATTATTTTTTAAATTTTTTTTTTTTTTTACTAATTTATTGTTTTTTTTATTACAAGTATTAATTATATTCTTTATTTCAGGGGTTTAGATGCATATTTATGCACTTTTTTACAATTTTTACAATTTTATATTACGTATATTTTTCAGTGTTAAGTGGTTGTATTTGGGGGCCTGGAACGGATTAATCCTATAACGAACGAATGCTATAACGAACAAGGTTCTAGAACCAATTAGATTCGTTATAGCATACCCCACTGTATATATATATATATATATATGAATAACCTTGAAAAATGAATATGAAGGCTTTTTTTATTAACAAATATATACAGGATACAATTGTGTAATTACAGTACAGTAATAAAAATAATACACAATGACTGTACACCATACAGATATCTGATCTGCCTCCGTCTCCATGTGTCCTAACTTATAACCCACAAACTTATTTTTCATATTAATTACTGCTAAGGTTTTAGTTATAATATTAAAAACTCAAACAAAATCATGTTTACTGTAGAAACATCGTAAATGCAAGAGGTGGGAAATGGTGGTGTTGGTGGGTGTGGGAGAATGTCATTCCTGAAATTTACTTAATATTTTGTCAATGAATCAAGTAAAACATATCTGTATCATTAAAGATTGAAGAATAACTATGGAAAATTATGTATATACACTGTAAATATATCCTTGCAGCGGTTAAAATTTATTTAATTTTGTGCAGTGGCCAATTGGATGCTAGAATTCAAATTTTATCAATCAGTCACTCTCATTGTCATGATTGGTAATATAATTTTGTAACAATCAGAATGGGATGCTCCCTCCCCATCTTCCCACCACAAACCAAGGTACTGGCATGCATTTGACCCTGATGCTGTACCAAGAGCCTCAGGGTGACCCACCATGACTAGCTTCAGGGATGCCCTTCCATGTGTGACATGGCACTAAGCCTGGCCACTGTATTATGTGCTTGATTGTGGAGCAGCTTCTCAGGGTGCTAGCCTTGAGTTTTGGTTCCTGAATTATTAGGGGGAAGTGCACTTGTGAAATGCTCACCTGGTACCCTCTCTGCAAGTACAGGTTCCCTCTGTACATCATAATCCAGAGTAAGGGCTACAACACAAAAGGCAGCTCTCAAAAGAACATTGCATATGTTTATTCATGTAATTTACACATACGTCATTGTATCATAAACAGTTATTTGTTTTCTTAAAACATAATAATCTGGCAACACTTTTTTTTTTGCCCGGTTTTTTAATGAGGCATGCACCTTGGCTTTCTTAGCAGATCAGGTCATTGTGAGAAAAGAAAAGGTAAAGGATCAGCTCAACTGTGACATCATGATGTGGTGTCAGGTCAAGCTCACACACACACACACACACAGAGCACCCCCCCCTTCACCTTGCTGGTTGATGGAATTCACTGATTAAACGTGCATGGGGAGGTAGGAGTCATGTAGCAATAACTTCTCCACCAAGCCAGTGTCGGGCACACACACATGAAAAATCACTTGTCCAGCCCCTAGTCCGGGCACGTCTGTGTTGCCTTCTACTCTTGTTTCAAAAGTGCTGTCTTTAGGGACTCAGTTGTGACAGCAAAGTGTGAATAATTAGGACATTACTGTACTTCCAGTCACAAAGATCACACATATGATGCATTTGCTTAGTTTTGAACTCGCCCATTAATTGTGATTTCAGGTTAAACATACCGGATATTTTTAATGCAGTACCGTACTGTATATTAATAAAACTTAACCTGAATTGTAACTTTTATTTTTTGTATGTAAATTGAGATATAGGACTTAGACACACTTTCTCTTTTATTTGGTGGAGGAGGGTGGGGGTATACACTGGATCTTTGTTAATCAGGGATTGCCTGTATGTATCAAGCAATCATAAATATACCTGAGGTTGTGAATGACATAAGTTTATAGTTTTTTCATACTGAACTGTTTTGAAAATTGCTTAGATACCAAATGATCAGTATCATGTGTTGTTGCAGCTTGAAGTTTTATTATAAATGTACAGTGTATTTTGTAGGGTAGCCTTTGATTACCTCAGAATTATAACCCTACCTTGTCAACTATTCCCACCCTGTGAGTTTGCAGTAGGAATATCATCCAGCCATAAAACTTTGCTTCAACATGCCTGATGGAAACCAGAGCTTTGCCCATCCATCTCTTAGTTTTGGGCATTTTCTAGTCTGGCACCATGGGTTTGTTGTGGTGAGCAGGGAAGACAACCCATTTTGGTTTTACCCAATAACTGCCATCAGGTAATCATGGCTAACCTACATAAGCGTGGAAAATGGCCATAAAATGATGATAATTTTGAAACTTGTAACATCAAAAATTAATTCAAATAGAACGCAGTCCACTTGAAATAATAACATAAGAGTTGTTCACCAAGTGTGGTAAAACTAACAGGTTCTGTCAATAATATTTTTGAAGTTACATTACAGTATTAATTTTTATAATAGATCAGATAATTGAGGGACCCCCTGTACATATATGATCAATGATTGGGGCTTGTACTGAGCTTCTTTGTAATCAGTGAATCTTGGCTGACTTGGAAAGTGAAGAATGTAAATTCCAGCATCTGTGCATCCTATGAACAATTTGTCCAACATTAAGATTATGTGATGGCCAAACATTATGCACCCATACATATGTATTCAGCCTTAACGCCTGTAAGAGATGAACGGAAAGGGTTAAAGAGTTTACTGTAACTCCAAAATATTCCCCCCAAACTCACATCAGTGTGACATTGATAGTTTTATTAATCTCGTGTGGTCGCTAGTTAGCAGAACCTTACTTGCAGTTGCGAGTTAGAATTTAAAGGCATGGACAGGCTGAACCCCCTGCATTAAAGGTGATCCTCCCACTCAGATATGTTGTAAATCTTTCCCTTTATTAAAACTTTGCTTCCCTGCCATACTTTTCTCCCTCTGCTGTAGTTCTGCTGCTCCGCTGTAGGGTAGTACAGTACAGTATTTGATCTATCCATCTATTAAGTTTACACCATTCCCACTTTACTTGATTTATTTTTTTCCTCTTTGCTCTTGATTTTCTTTGTAAAACAAATTTTCTTGGTTATTTTACCTTCATTCTGTCATTCTTATTGGATTCTTTGTCTTACTAAGTATGTCCAGGATTTTATCACATGCATCAGTTTCATTCACAATAGTGTATACATTACTGTACAGTATTCCCCTAATTGTAATGTTATTCTTGATCCTAATATCCTTATTGGTAATATTCATTGTATCAGCTCCCATTTTTACTTGTAAAAAATTTACATCACATGCAGAAGAACTTATCAAGACTCACTAAGGCAAAATAATTTTTTTTACATTTTCAGCCCTCATAACTAACACACTGCAGTACTCAGTGGTTGGGTTTAACAACAAAACACACACACACACACACACACACACTCTCACTGTCATTTGTTCTTTCTAGCTGCCATGTCTCATGTGTTGTTATAATATCCTCCTTACATCTTTTTTGTGCAATTTAATCCATCATCAATCTGTCTCCTAAGTTTTGACATCTTGTTCTCACATGGTCCCTGAAGGAGGGCCAGCTGAAACATCTTCCCAAAGCATATTGTACAATGACCATTGAGGTGGTGTTTTTTAAGTTATATATCAAGCATTACTATGAAACATGATTACTGAACACACCTGGATGCTTCTTCTTGACACAATTACCCTGTACTCTAGGTGCTGGATGTGTGGACTTATGTGGCAATATCGATAATACATATCTAGACTACCAAGGTTATTGACTGCATACCGCATGACAGGTTGAAAATTAAACTGGAAGGGTACAGAATTCGGAGGAGCAACCTGGATCAGAGACTTTCTTCACGACCGCAAGCAGTGTGTGGTGATTAATGGCACGAAATTGTCATGTGCACCCGTGACATGTTGGGTACCGCAGGGCAGTATAATGGGACTGTTGCTGTTTGTTTGTTTCATAAACAATATGCCAGAAGCTATACAGTCCTTCATTCAGATGTTTGTGGACGATGCCAAGTTATCCAAGGAAATTAAGACCGAAATGGACTGCAAAGCATAGTACAGTATATAGACTGTAAGAGGTGTTACATAAAAATGCAGTTGCTGTAGTGGTGTGGGGGAGGTGCTGTGGTCGTGGCAGCGGTGGAGATCGTCTTCTAAGGTGTGATCAGAGCAGTCCTGAGATATCAAAACAGCATTGAAGAAGTTTACTTATTTAAAATGGTAGTATGGCAGTGGGGAGCCTTACAGTTTTACCTCTGAGGCAGGGTCCCCCCTCAAGCCATTTCCTGACATCCAGCACCCAAACTTGTCCACCAATCAGCTCCACTATTACGAGACTGCTGCTCATTCATTCATAAATATTGTATAGTATTGCAAACAGCCACATGTATGCAAACATCACCACAGGGGATAAAGAAACTCTTGGAAGCAATTGTTGCAACAAAATTAATTATTTTACTTTGAGCCAAATTTTAGAAGGGTAGAATTGTAACTGAAAAAAAATTAACACTGTACAGAGTTTGTATTGTATTTATGCAAATTTTCATGTTTACAAACAAAGGTCTCATGTTTTACTTATATATAACTGTTAGGGTTATGGCACCATGGTCTTAAATTTACCATATTTCAATAACGGAAGTATATATTCACTTTATAATTTTAACACATTTTACTATTTGAGCAAAAAGGGGGAGCTTTCTCAGATGTGTAAATTATTGAAATACATAAGTATGTACTTTTTTTCCACTACTGTGCTTATTTTCCTGGACGACACCTGTTACAGAGTGGAGTGAAGAATTATGCTGTGTGAAATGTGGCTTTTGCTTCCACATACTGTACCTGCATTAACACAAATGATACTAGATGTTTTATTGGTTGACATAGTTAATACTTTAATTGCAAATTCACTTTTTTTCCCTTGACTATTATGCAGCTTCACAGATTTACAAAAAGTACCATACCTCTGACTTACACATTTGAAATTAAATTAATATCTCCTACATTAATCTTTTCTTCTTATATATTCATGAGTTTTATTTGTTCTCAGGATTGACTGTCGCTTCAGAGTGGTATCTGAGAGAAACCTTGGAGATTTTTCTCACGAAGTTGTCTTCTGGAGCGGAGATTTGGACGACGACCTCGACTCTGATGATGACCTTGACCTGGATCTTTATGGTCCTATGTAGTTCTTTCCCTCCACTAGTGTTGGACTTATCTAAACCACTAGAGATAGATCCAAGTAGATATTTTGTTGATGTTTTCATGTAGATTTTTTTATTAATGTTTACTATGGTATTTCTTATTTTTGGTAACTGAACACAAGGTGGGCTTACCGGCACCACTCCCCAGTACTAGTGAGGGGGACTGTGTTAAGCCCTGAGCAGAATGCCTGCATCCTTGACTTGAAAATGAGAGCGAATGAGGGTAGAATTTATATTCTTCATTCCGACTACTCAGCATCATTCAGGAAAGAGTTTGTGATATCATTAAAAGAATTAATTACTGACTTGTTAAAAATACTGTACTATAATTGCACGAAATCTTTTGCTCCCAAGGAAGTCATTTGACAGGTAATATATATATTTTGTCAATTGTTAATGTTTACATAGTTTATATACTGTATTTATGAAAATATCCGTTTGTTTTGATTAAGAAAAAATGGGATGCAGCTCTGCATAATGGATTTTTATTATTAAAGTACTCAAGTGACATGTTTTACACTTTCTTGTTGAATATGGAGCAAAATTTTATAATTAAATTATTTATCAACAATAGTGCTTTGAAAATCCAGTAATTCAAATTAAAACTTCTTTTATTTTTCAATGTCAATGTTTAATGTGCGACATACAAAATTGGTAATCCTATCTATTAAAACAAACTGAATTTCAATGTTCAATTGTTAGTTTCCTATTTCCCAACACCTGAAAAAAAAATTATATTTATATATACTGTATATATATATATATATATATATATATATATATATATATATATATATATATATATATATATATATATATATATATATATATATATATATATATATATATATATATATATATATATATATATATATATATATATATATATATATATCATTTTTAGTCCATATAACACGCGGACTTTGAACATGTAATCAACGACCTCACCAGCCAGGACTCGAACCCTCGACTTAATGCATGAGACTAGGGAACGTTACCGACCATACCACAAGAGCACTAAAGCAGGTCTAGACTATGTGATATTTCACACAAACCTGTTCATCGAGCTGATGGCGCCGTGAACCTCTCATTGGGAACTGCCCGTGCTGCTTATGTGGATGTCAGTAGCATTTTACCGAATCCAGCCGGTATGAAACACGAGGTACCATGTATACTTCATTTTTAGTCCATATAACACGCGGACGTGGTAAAATGCTACTGACATCCACATAAGCAGCACGGGCAGTTCCCAATGAGAAGTTCACAGCTCCATCAGCTCGATGAACAGGCTTTGTGTGAAATATCACATAGTCTAGAGCTGCTTTTAGTGCTCTTGTGGTATGGTCGGTAACGTTCCCTAGTCCCATGCATTAGGTCGAGGGTTCGAGTCCTGGCTGGTGAGGTCGTTGATTTTATATATATACAGGTTGTACCTCTCTAGTCCGGCAACCTCGGGACCTGACCGGTGCCGGACCATGGAAATTCATCCTTTTCCTGGATAGATAGTGACTTGTGCTTATGCCTGGAAGCACTAGCACCACTTTCTCTGCGTCATGGTCTCTTTGAAGACATATTGAAGGGTTAAATGTCATATAGTAGCTTCTCAAATTTCGCGAGTTTTTAATTCTTAACGTATTTTATTGGAACACACAAAAAAATAAATAAATAAAAATTTTGACGGCGGAAACTTGAATTTCGACGGGTTTGAACGGCCCGCCAACGTGCAGACGACGTGCATAATCGTGTAAACAGCGTCATTTCTCTTATGTACAAAAGATTCATTATTGTTTATTACTGAATGTCTTTTTTATTGAATTAATGTTTATGTGTGCAAAATGAGCAATACAATTCATTAATAATACGTAGAATATTAAAACACACGAGGAAATGACACAGCATTGTTTTCGTTGATTATAAAACCAGTGACTGACTGGTTCTACATATAAAACTGAAGAATATAAGACCTTGGTTGTAGCTGTAGTAAAATTAATATGGTTGTTTTAAGTAATGTTATTTAATGTTAATAAATGGAACAATAGAAGTAGCTAACGATAATGGTAAAGAAAAAGAGAGATCGCATATGTAAGTGAGCATGCGCACACGTGAAAACATATCGTCATTACTTTACATAAGAACATGAAAGCAACACTTATTTACTGTTCATATATATTTTAATTAATGTTTCTGAATTTGTTTTTATTGAATTAATGTACGTGTGTGCAAAATTAACAATACAATTTATTAATAATACGTGGAATATTAGAGGAGACGAGACGGCTGCCGGCATTGTTTATGTTAAAGCTTACGAAACCAGTGACTGATTGGTTCTACATATAAAACTGAAGAAAATAAGACCCTGATTGTAGCTGCAGTAAAATTAATGTAAAAAATGAATATGGTTGCTTGAAGTACCTGTAATGTTATTTAATGTTAATAAATGGAACAATATAAGTAGCTAACCATTAATGGTAAAAAAAAAGTGAGACTGCTCGTATGTAAGTGCGCACATGTGAAAATATATCATCATTACTCTACATAAGAATATGAAAGCAACACTTATTTACTGCTCATATATATTGAAGGGTTAAATGTTGTACTCTGTATAGACAAGCAGAGAGAGAGAGAGTGCAGCCGAACTGCCGGATGTAAACAAACCTTAATTTCCCGCGGGTTTTTTTTAAGGGGATTAGCCCACCCGGGCATAGGTCACTGACCCACATTGGGGCCTGAGGGGCAAAAATTTAATACTCCTGTAATAATAATAATAATTCAGAGAAAAAAAAAAAAAAAGCTGCCTCTCTACCTATTGGACAAACTAAAATCGTTCCGGACCACGGGAGTTTCCGGACCACAAAATGCCGGACTAGAGAGGTACAACCTGTATATATATATATATACACAGTACAGTATACTATATATTCCTTCATCTTTTATCAGTTGTTGCTGATGTGAACCTAAAAATTTTAAAGTTTTCATGTTTAGGGACACCTGCAAACTATACTAAGACCATAAGTAGAACCCTGATGTTCAGGCACAATGCCATAAACACCTGTGCAATACAGTATTAGCAACTTCAATGTAAAATTTCCTAAGTTGTCTTAATACCATGTGCTTATTTTCATTGATTTTTATATCATACTGTCATAAGAGAAATTTCTGTGTTTTTAATTACTTTTGGCTGTTAAAATAAATATCCTGCTTCTTTCCACAAAGCAGATTACTTAATGTTAAAATTTAACATTTCCTATGGCACCTTTCTGATGGGTACTGGACGTGTGTGTTTGACGAATACAGTACTGTACATGTGAATGTCCTGGCATAGTGCATCGTCCTCTGCGGGCTGGACCGTACTGCTTGAGACAGTCTGCTCTCTTTAAAACACTGCTGGACACATTTAATTTACAATGCCTAAAGTGACTTCTTCTTCAAAACTTAACAGTGCAGTATCATTAAAAAGAGTTTGGTAACAATGTGTTGTCTACAGATGGGACAGTATTATTTTGCAAAATTTGCAAAAAAAAATAATTAACTGCAAGAAATTTATTGTTTCTTAACATTTAGAGACTTCTAAGCACAAAGTTACCATTACTCACAAAGCTGGTTAAGAAAGTACTGTACAATACTTGCCTTCTTACTTTCACATATACTTTTTTTTTTTTATTATTATAATTTTTGCCACTTATCTGCTTACTAGCCGTTTGGGCGGTTTACCCAGTGTTAGTACAGGAGGAAACCAGGGACTGGAAAACCTGGTGTTTGGTAGTGAGGGTCACACTGGATAAACACCCTTATCACGTGTTTCTGGACTGAGGCTCGAACTCTTGACATATTGGTGAGAGTTATGTACATTACCGCTGTCGGCAATCTCAATATTTTGGGGGACCTGTCCAGGCCTTTGTAGATACTGACATTCCCCTGTGAAAATTGGAAAGGGAGTCTGAAATATTTGGAGCCAAGAAGCATCAAAGTTTCAACTGAGAAAATCACTAATAATTAGTTATTTTTGCAACATACAGTAATACCCCGCTTTACGCGTTTTTTTTTACGAGTTTCTACATTTACGCGGTACCCCGCCAGAACCGGAATTCCCACTTAACACGGTGCACCTACTCATATACGCGGGAAGCAGCGCGGGCAGGGTGCGCACAAGGTCGCCCAGTCATCAAAACATTACCGAGTTCTTCACCCGCCACCCACCACAGCCGGCCCAAGTCAGTGATAGTGATAGTGAGGATATGGAGTTATATGGACTTTGAGGGGTTTGACAAAGAGGCCCTGCAAGTCTCTGTGGTGGATAGTGATACAAGTGATACAGGTAAGGGCCAATAATCTGCCCTCTGCCTTGGAACCAACCCCCCCATCCCCGTGTGCCCAGCCATCTTTTCTACTAATGTAAGTGTTAAAAAACCTAATATTATTGATAGTTCTCTTAATTATTAAATGTGTGTGCATACCATCATAAAATTAAGAAGTTATTTTTACTACAACGTAGGTATTGTGTCTGAAAAAGTGGAGTTTGGTGGTCGGCCCAGTCTCTATTTCAATTAATCCCATATGTTCTGTTGTTCACTTTACTCGTTTCACGCTTTACGCGGGCCTCCGTGGGTTCAATTGACCGCATAAAGCGGGGTATTACTGTAGTACTTTATTTGTATAATTATTTTTTTAAATAAAAATATTAATGCCTTTATCAAATTTATGTTGCCCATTTTTGCCTATTTCAGCTGTTAGTCTTGCCTATTTTCCTGCTTTTTAAAAGATATTAGATACCTAAACATCCAAGCTCTCATCATAAGCTTAAAGAATGGTACTTCTTATTTATGGTACATTTTAATGTTGGATTCATAGACAGGAGTTTTGCTGTTGTTGGTTAGTGGTGTCATATATAAGGTAGTCCCTTGAAGTATTGTACAGTATCACAATAGTGTACAAGTTTTCAAGTGGGCTTTGGTACTTGCAACCAATATTAAACATTCCAGGGAAGTATTAGCTGTCATAGGAGAGTTTTAACTTATTTAAGAGGTAAGAAATATTTTACCGTAATTTGTTATGTTATGATAATATGATTTGTTTGTGAATGGGAAAAAATATTACTTAATTATCGCTTCCCTGCCACAGGTAAACTTGACTATAATGTAATTACTTACAGTAGACTGCCTAATCCTCTGGCATATGGGTAGGATTGTACAAGTGATGTACTGTACCATCCTCTGGGAATTTGTAATTTTTGTTTTATTATAAAATAAAAAAAAATTCTGTATCAAGTTTAATTTCTCTTCCAATTTTATCTGAAAATGTTCCTAACGGACAATATAAATGATTTTCTGGTATCTTTACTTATTATTTTATTTATCTATCATTTCACCACTTATCAACTTGCTAGCCATTTGGACAATTGGTCTATCCAATGTTAGTACTGCACAGGAGGAAACCTGAAGTGTTTGGTAGGGTCACACTGGATAACACCCTTCTCACATATGTCTGGGCCAAGCAGGATTCAATCACCTGACATATTGGTGAGATATACGTTTGTTGTTGTTGTACCACCAACACCACTTTATCCTCTTTGTCAATGATTTAGCTGTTAGCCACTTGGGTGGTCATTCACATTTCTGTTACACACTGTTGACAAATACTGGACATGAACTGGTTCCAAAATGTATCAGTACCTGCGCCAGTGTTGGTCAAGTCTGGTCTTGAATAAGCTCACACTCGGTCCCATCACAACATTCTTCGGTAAATTCTTCCAAGAGTTCACAACTGTCACTCCAAAAAGTTAATAGATTTCTTTTAAGTACCCCCTTGCCCACCTATAGCATAAGCTAGGCAACTGCAGGCATTCCAATTTCTCAGAGTACCTGAGGTGCAAAAGTGCAGGCATTAACCAGGCTGGTGGGACCTACATTTTCAATCAACTAACAGTCTCTGGCATATCTCAGGGACCAGATAGGGTGACAGTAGTCCAAATAGGGAAGTACCTCGCCTTTGAAGGGACAGACTGTGTAGGTATGTGAATGCCCATCTTATAAGACCCACTAGCTTAGTTGTTTGGTATACCTTCTTATCACAATGGTCCGAGAACTTCACCTCATTCTCAACATGCTCACCAGGTCCTTTTCACATTTGGTCTCAATTACTGTTGTTTCTTTATTCATTTGGGGCATGTGATACCCCTCCTTAATGTTGGTATGACTTAGGAGTATTATTTTTTTTGCATTTTGTGACATTGAATCTTAAGAGCCATTCCTTTGACCACTCCTGAAGATGACAGATATTTCTGTAGTATTTCATAATCTGTTTGGTCCTTAATTTCCCTGGATAACTTAGCATCGTCCTCAGACATTTGTATGGAGGAGTGCATGGCTTCTGGCATATAATTTATGAAACACACAACAACAGTCCCGGTACACTACCCTGTGGTACCCCGCTTGTTATGGGTACATAATGTATGATAAATATGTTCCATGTAGACACATGGCGAGCACAGTGAGCCTGCCCATCTGGGGGCTTTGTGGGGGGGGGGGCACTGTAAGCCCCCAAGAATTTTTTTTTTTAAATCTGACCAATATCATGGGCATTTTGAGGCCATTTTGAAAACATGTGCACTTGATATTAGGAGATATTCTAAGATAAATAGTAATTACTGAGTGCAATACAGCATTAAATAAAAAGGGCAGTATAGTCTGCATTCACGCGGGTTTTGTTTACGCATTTGGTCATTTACGCAGTGCCTTGCCAGAATGAAAATGCTTTAATTACGCGGTAAATTTGGTCATTTTCGCGGAGAGCAGCTGACGGTCCAGCCGCGCGCCATTTTGGATTCAAACCTCCTGCCATCTCCCACCATGCCTGACCACAAGCGGGGGAAGCGGCGCAGAGGGGTGCGCAGTATGTCGCTGTTGCGTTATCGGTGACGTCATATAACGTATCGGACTGTGATTGCGCCACGCATCCTTACCTCCCTCCCCCACTAGCTGTGATTGGTTTAATGTAATATGACGTGCCCTGCCACGGGAGGGAAGAAGTCGCTGACCTAGCAGGGCCTGTCTCATTGTTCTCATTCCGCGTATACAGTTCTCTCTTGTGCCTGCTATTCCCCTCACAATGGCTTCCTCAGGACCCCCACCACCAGAGAAAAACATTGAATTACCTGGACCAAGCCATGATTGTGTGAAGGAAATCATCGAGTTGGGGGGGAAAATTAAGCTCATCCTTAACAACAACCCAGACAAGCATCGGTATGAAGCGTCTAATAACCATCTGACGAAATTTATGGAGCCGTATAACCAGATCTATCTCGACAACATCACTGCTAGTCATCAACGTAGTATTGAGGACTTCCTAGCCCGCAACCCACCACAACCACAGCCAGCCCAAGTCAGTGATAGTGATAATGACGATATGGACTTTGAGGGGTTTGTCTGGGAGGCCCTGCAAACCTCTGCAAGTAGTGAAAGTGAAAGTGATTCACTGGAGGGCAACTAATCTGCCCTCTGCCTCGGAACCAGCCGCCATCCACGTGTGCCGACCCAGCTTTTCTACTAATGTAAGTGTTAAAAAATCTAATATTATTGATATTTCTCTTAATTATTAATTATGTGTGCATACCATCATAAAATTAAGATGTTATTTTTACTACAACGTACGTATTGTGTCGGAAAAAGTGGAGTTTGGGGGTTGGCCCAGTCTCTATTTCAATTAATCCCCTATGTTCTATTATTTCATTTACGAGTTTCTCGTTTTACGCAATGCCGGATTTAGACCTGTGGAGGCCCATGGGCAGCCTCTTTGTGGAGGCCCCCCTCATTATAACTACCCAAGAGGGTGGGGTGGTGAGTGAAGTGAGCCTAAACATCTGGGAGTTCCGGGGAGCACTGTATGCGCCCCGGGAAAATTTTGAAATTTGAACACTTCTTTGGAGAATTTTGAAGCCATATGCAGTTATATTGAGGAAATTAGAACATTGAGAAATTTTTAATTAACTGTATATTTATTGATAGTGTACAAATTCCCAACACACACACACACACACACACACACAAAAGTGAGACATGACTTGAGTCATTCATGTGGTTTCAAGTCGACCAGCCCTGATATAGCTACTACCGCACATGTGGAGGCCCCCAGATTGTGGAGGCTCCTGGGCAGCTGCCCACTCCTGAATCCGGCCCTGGTTTTACGCGCCACGGGTTCAATTGACCGCGTAAATGCAGACTATACTGTATTGGAATTTTCTGATGAAAAGGAGGAGGTGAGGGCCCCCCTGGACCAGCCCCTGACTATAACATTGAATACCTTGATATATACTCGTATAGTACAGTACTGTAATACTGTACAATCACTCAAAGTACCTTCCTCGTATCTGAGGGCTGGTGACCACAGTCCTCCACTCTAAACGTTCTCGGTCTGTTTTTACCAATCCTCCAAGGTTTTGTATCCCTCGGGAGACCCAGTTTATAATTTCATTAATCCACCATAGTCTCTGCCTAACCCTGGTCGTCCTACCCTCAACTTTGCCCATTAATATTTCTGTTATTATCCGCTCATCCCTAATTATTATAAGACCAATGTTTTTAATTTTTCTTTTTCTGGACATTTCAAGTATTTTTTTTTGAAAATTGTTGCTAATCTTAGTACTTCTTCATTTGTTTTCCTGTCAGGGTAGCTTATTCTTAGCATTTACCTATAACACAACATTTCAGAGGCCTCCCCAACCTATTCCTGGTGTCTACTGAAAGTGTCCACGTTTCTGACTCATACATCAGTCCTTGCCATATAAAACCTTCCATCAGCCTTTCTCTCAAATTGATGTTAATGTCCCCTTTCATTAGGTCTTTTAGGTTATTAAATTCTGTGTTTGCTTGACCTATTCACAGCTAATGTTACTTTCCAAATACACAAAATTTTCCACTTGTTTAAGTTCCCTGCTGCCTACCATAATTTATATTTTAGGATATATTTCCAATTTGGAAACAAACATTACTTCCGACTTTTCAGCATTAACTCTTGTGGAGGTATGAGATATTGGTTCACACTCAGGATGGGATGGAGAAAGGAAACTCACAATGTGCTCACTGTAAACATATTGTATTGGAGGTACAATGCAGCTTGTTGCTGGGTAGGTAGCATGGTAATAAGCGTTGAGTAGAGAGAGCTGGGTGGTGAGGGTGCCAGAGGAGGGACATGCGGCTTGAGGGACACCAAGCCCAAGGTCGCTGGCGGGAGCGGCAGCCACCAGGCTGGCGTGGAGGAGATGGTGTTGCTTGAAGGTGGCACTGGGTAGAAAAGAGGGTGGTCACAGCGGTGTCAGGTCTTATAAGGCGGGGGTAGGCGTGGGTAGATAGTTGACCCCCGCTCCGTGGGCGGCGCTGGAGGCGTAGGCTGGGGAATTCGAGAAGGTTCGGTGCTTGTAGGGGAGGAATCCACTACACTCTTAAACCATATTTTTTCCAAGATCTCTACTAGTTTTTTGTGCTTTACCATATCAAAAGATATTTCAAAATCAACAAAGCAGATACATTTTATACAGTATACAAATTTCTGTATAAAGCAAATATAGTGCCATTAATGGCTGAATACTCCACTATAATGCTTGCCTGGGCGCGCGATACGATAGAGATGCACGCACCGACAGTCTCAAATCAGCAACCTCCTGCCGTCACGCTCAGTAGCTCCGGCAGTTTGCTTTATCGTTTATACCTTGGTTTATTCGGCACGTTGAAAGTCTTGAATCACTCGTAGTTATTTGGGGATCAATCACCTCCAACTTTTACATGACATTTTTAAAAGTGATGATATCCTGAGCATTCTAATTCGTTTATACTATCACCTCCTCTGAGTCAATTTCCATTTCTAATATAACTAGACAGCGAATGAAATTACTCTCCTATCGTAAAATTGTTAGAAAGAAAAAGCACATGACGGTTCTGTTATCACATTTCTTTATGGTAAGGCATATGTTATACTCCGGGGTTATATTGTATTAGATTTTGTTGGAGATGAAAATGTATAATTTAGTTAATTTCACCGTCATCTTTCTCTCCCTACACCACTTCATGAAATGCCTTGTTCAGTCATTAAAAGTCACGTCCTTTGGCGTTCGAGTGCGGGCGTGACTCGAAGCTTTGTTTATATCAGCTGACTCAACAAGGAGGTACTAGTAATATTTTAAAAACAACAAAATTGTAAAACTCTTCCTTGTACTTGTAAACAGGTTACCGACTCATGAAACAGATCTCAACTTGGTTTATTTTACGAATCACGAAGTTCACAGTAAATCTAGCAGTTTCGAATCACTCATCAGCCACTGTTCGACTCTCACTGGTGACTGTCTGGCTGACCACCGCCGTCACCGCCCGGCGCCCACCAGTTCCCTGGCGACGCTTGGAATAGACTTTTAGACAGGTTTTCAGCTGCTGTAAATGACAATGAGAGGCGTTATTTGGATTCCATGGAAATACTTTCTCGTGTTTATTGCTGTCCAGGTATCTGATGGAGCGCCAGCACAAAGAGGTTAGTTATCGTTGTGTCAGGGTAGCGTGTTTAAAAGGTCGTGGTTCAGGTTGGCCTTAAACAACGATCCCCGCACCACAACAAATCGAACTAACTACTTGTTCAACGAAGCTTCATTTATTTTTGGGGTAATGTCTGAGAACAGCACTTTCAACTACCAGAAGTTATTCGATTTCGTTTATTTTGGTCAAGTTAGATTTATCTGACGTTCGCATTAATTTTCCTGTAGAAAAGAGTTAACGTATTGCTATTTCGACTTTAAATACTGAGTACGTTACCTTTAAACATTCTTGGATAGTCTTTAAATAGGAGGTATTGTCGAAAGTTGATCTGCCAATTTGCCATGTGTCGTTTGTTTACAACCTACTCTTTCAATCTGAGGGTTCACCACTGTACTGCACGATACTTTCATGTCCACTAAAAACGTAAAATTACACCATGACGCTTCAATAAAGTTGCTTTAACTGGTACAAGATATCAAAATACTGCAAGTACTTTCTGTTTAATATGGCTGGGAGTCTGGGGAAGGTTAGGCAGGATTCTTTGGTTGGTTAGGTCATTTTCAATTATGTTCCAGTAAATCTTGCCTTTTAAAATACTTACCATAATGATAAGAACATGTGGAAAAAATGAAATTAATTATTGGTTTTAGTGATGTTCGTATTTTTTACATGGAAACCTATTTTTCTGGTGCATTTTGGCATGGTTTTTTTTCAAATATGACCTTCATTTCCTTGGGAAATTAGTGGTTTTCAGGGAAATGATGATTTTACATGTCAAAGACATAAGAACTAACCAACCAAAGAAACCAACCTAACCTTACCAAACTTCCTAGCCCGGATTCCCTGCCATATTAAAAAAAAATTACTTATTTCGATATCTGGTACCTATGAAAACAACTATGTTGAAACATCATGGTGTAATTTTACATTTTAGTGGACGTGTGAGTACGGTTGGACTGAGCAGGTCAATTTTAAACAAACTGCCAGATGAAAACATGCTGATGGCAGATTTTTCTGGGGAGTATTTATGGTAAATAATGAATTTCTTCGCGTAGAAACATCATTTAAAGGCAGCGACACACTGGGCACTTTTCTGCTAACCATGCTGGGCCAACACGGTCTGGCCAGCAAAACAAAGAGGCGTTTTCATCACACTGGGATGTTTTGTTGGCATGTGACCAACAATAACAAAGTATCTAGATGAGGTCTGCCATGGATGTCGTTACAGCCTTGCAAAATTTTGCTACAGTTGTGACGGCACCGAGTTTGAGCTCATTCAAGGCCAGACTTTTTACTTTTACTTTTATCCTCTTCGCCACTGATCGGCTTATTAGCCGCTTGGGCAATCGGTCACGTCTCTGTCACGCATTGTTGGCAAATACTGGGCATGCACCGGCTCCTGAATGTACCTGAACCCGCTCCAGTGTTGGTCAAGTCTTGTCTTGAAAGAGCTCACACTCGATGCTGTCACAACACTCTCTGGTAGATTGTTCCAAGAGTTTACAACCCTCACTCCGAAAAAGTTTGCCCTCACAGTTTTCTGGACTTGCGGCTTCTTCAATCTTGAGCTGTGACCCCTTGTGGGGCGAGCGTCCGCCAGCTCCAAGTAAGGACACTCAACTGAGTAGTGCTCCCTGAGATGCTTATACACCTCAACTAGGTCCCCCCTTGCCCGTCTGTAGTATAAGCTAGGCAAGTTCAGGCGCTCCAATCTCTCAGGGTAGCTGAGGTGCCGAAGTGCAGGCACCAGTCTGGTGGCCCTAATTTGAACATTTTCAACCAACTGACAGTCCCTAGCATATCTCGGGGACCAGATGGGGTGACAGTACTCCAGATGGGGAAGCACTTCTCTCCTGAAGATCGTTACGAGGGATGGATTGTCTAGATATCTGAACGACCTTCTTATAAGACCCAATAATTTATTTGCCTGATTTACCTTCTTCTCGCAATGACTCGAGAACTTCAGCTCATTGTCAACATACACACCTAGGTCCTTCTCACATACAGTCTCAACTAGTGCAGTTTCTTCATCCCGTTGGGACATATGATACGCCTCCTTACCGTTGGTACGCCCCAGGTGCATCCTCTTACACTTCGTGACATTGAATCTCGGCAGCCATTTCTTCGAACATTCCTGGAGCCCACAGAGGTCCTTCTGCAGCTCTTCACAGTCCGCTTGGGGCAGGCCTCGTTATATTCAGGTGCCAGGACATGCCCAAGCTTCTAATGAGCCGATCAGTGGTGAAGAGGATAAGGTAAAGTGTAGTGTAATAGATGTGTTTTGTTAATGTTTGTGTGTATCCGATTACAGTACAGGTGTATTTAAATTTGAGTACTATGAGTACAGTTTGCGAGTGCTTGAGTACAGTTTGCTTTTGAATGTTGTTTATTATAGTACGGTATTTTATATATTATTCCTTCGATCAAATTTGTTAACTGTACTGGTTATGACAGGTAGTTTGCAGAGAAATACACAGCACGTAGATATGCTTTACTGTACTGTGGTGTGTTATAAAGTAGTGGATAGTGTTAATGGGAGGATGGGTGATGCCCGCTGAGCTACAGTGTGCCAATTGGTAATCCAAGAGTGAATCTCGCATAAGTGTGTCTTACCTATATCACCAACACAGTATATTAAGGTCTCGGATTGGAGGGTTCTCACAGAACTGTAGAAGCTTTAAGGCAACAGACTTGATAAATTGTACAGACAGTATTATGACCTGTACTGTGACCTCATTTGGACTGTCTTTTCATGTTGCTGTGTTTGAGGTAGATACTCACTGCTCCTACTGAGTGATTACCTGAAGCAGTTAAATCCTGCTTGAGGTCAGTCCGATTAAGTTGGGGAAGGTAAGGTCGACCATCTCAGGTTATGTCGGCTGTGTGCTGTGATGCTGCCTCTAAATACTATAAGTAAAGGAATACAGTATTTTGATTGTGGAGGAGTAAAAATGAATAATAAATTTTCTTTTTTCTTTTTTTTCTTTTTTTTTTTATCTTGGGGGAACTTTTCAGGCAGCTAGGAAAGCCCCTTATTGTATGCTACTTGATTCAGTAGTTTGCATTGAAGTTGTGCCTGTTAGATTTTTGTGTACTGTTCACATATTTTGAGAACATTACTGTTTGTGAATGAGGTAAGCTCAATATTTTGTCTAAGTACTTCTTGTGAGTATGTCAGCTCGAGTACAGTACAGTACTGTACTGTGTAAATTATTTAGTGTACTTGCAAATTGTTTGTTTGTATTGAATCTACTGTAAAGGGACTTGGTCAATTATACAGTAAATGGTTATGACATTGCCCTAACATTCAGTCTTGTTTGTGAAAATTTGCTTTCAGCTAAAGGAGAACAGCTGCAGCTCCGAGAGTCCTCCACAAGCACAGGACATGCCAACAGGAGCTCTGCTACTGGTCAGGACCTAGGGAGCAGCAGTTACTCCTCTGGGGAAATTCAGAGAAAGAGGTAAGCTGGTAGCACATGGAGTTGGTCAGCTTGTATTTAATGGGTTATAAAAAGTGGTAAATGTGGTTATTTTTTTTATTCTTATTGATGAAAATGATAGTGATTATTGTGTGCAGGACTCTGAAAATCTTTGTGGAAGTAAAATGTTAATAAAGTGAAAAGTGGAAAAAAGTGCTATGAATTACTGTACAGTACAGTCACAGTATTGTACAGTAAATGTTAGCATTAGTACTTCATAGTATACTGTACTGTAATTTGTGTGCTTAAACAGTGTAAGTACTTTTGTGTGCTATTAAGTACTTTCTTGTGATTATTAGGCATTACTGAGGTGTATAAAGTCTTCTTTTTTTTTTTTTTTGCGATCACCTCTATGGCATCACTATACTATACTATGCTGTACAGTACAGTACATATATCAAGTTAGTTGGACCCCCAAAAACTTTTTGGGACCAGACTACAACCTTAGTCTTTTTAGAATTTTTCCAAGGCCTAATTTAATTCAATTATATAGTATGGGCAATCTTAGAAAAAATAAGGAACAATCTAAGGGTTAGGGTTCCTTAGATGTAGGTACTGTACTGTATGCAATACTGTTCATTACACCCTAAATACTGTATGTGTATCTAAATAATTACAATGTGATACCCTCAATATAGTCTCTCCTCGGTTCAGTATACCTGTACTTCACAGCTCTGAACTCGCCCAAGAGAGAGGTGACCTGGACCAGCTATTCAATGGGTCATCTCTTGGCTACATTACAAGTTATGGGGCTACTGATCAAGATGGCAAAGTAAGACTCCTGGTTTTTTATGTCAGCTTTATCAAGAAACTGTCCTTGAAACATTGAAAAAAAATCCAATTCAATTACCAAATGATTATCTAATTTATTAATTTTCAGACGTAAGGAATAACTTTTTATGGGCTATGAAAAATATGGTGAGACCCTCGGCTACCGGGGTACTTGCAAAATATAATATGAAACGTTCTGCATTCTATTTAGTTATTCATTTTAAATAATGTTAAAAGTCTTGACGGGTTGGACCTCGCTAATCCGGAAAGCTTGGGACGAGACCAGTTCCAGATTAGCGAAAATTCCGAACCATCGAAGCCGAGGTAAAAAAAAAAGAAGGCAAAACAATGCATAAAATGTACTATTACTGGTGCCAATACAACTTACATCAGCATAAATCTAGCCCAGGCTTACTGGACCTCTTTATGACAAAGTGTTAGTGCTATGACACAAGTTTATTACTGTATACTGTGACACAGAAATAAGTAGATTAGCAGAAAAGTAAAGCGAAAATTGTATATTATAGGCTTACTGATACCTGAAATTAACGACAGCCAGATTCAAACACCGTCCAGAACTATAGAAGCTGATGGACTATCGGGTCCCGAATTAGCGGTATCCAACCTGTACTGTAATGATTGAAACATTGTTTATGGGCCCTTGGACTAATTTTTAGAATTGTGTGAATGCTGATGGATCACATCAACGCTGCAACATTCCGTGATTAATAATAGAGTATAGAAATTCACTCTTGTGCTGTAGCTTCATTTGCTCTGTACTTTTTTTTAGTTTTAGCTTTGACAATGCTGGTTTTAATGTGCCAAGGAAACTTATTCCAGTCCATTATAGATGCAAAGAAGTGTTTTTCACTTGACTGCAGACACCAGGCACCATAAAATGGTGTTCACTTCCTCTAGTGCCCTGCCGGTTCATATCCCAATATTATAAAGTTTGTCCTTAGATAATATAGGCACAGTCCATTGAAAATCCTATACGCATAAATCAGCCTTAATTACTTTACTCTATTTGCCACACTTAACATGTCCAGTGATTCAGTGATTGTAAGATTTTGTGACCATCGTGGTCTCTTGTGTTATTATCAGGAATAAACCTCACCATCTTGTTTTGAACAATTTGTAGCTTGGCTTTCAGTTTGTGTTAAAGCAGAGTATCATGATGACCAGGAATAGCCCAAGTGACATTATATGAGTGCCAAGCAAAGGTTCCTTTGGCTCTCAACAGAGGCATTTAGCATGTCTAAAAAGGAGTTTTATCCTGGTATTATTTTTATTTACTATACAGTATTATCAATGATTACCGTAATTCTCCAGATAAGCAAGAGTTAAGAGTTAGCCCACTGAAGTTAAAGGTTAGATGCATTCAATTCCATGTAAAGAAGATTCTTTTCAGACCATCCCTTGCATACTGTATTAGCAAAGCAGTGCAAGAGGGTCAATGTCATCACCAACAAGCAATTGATCGCAACCTGCACTGCTGTCTTGACAATCAGCAAGTACATCAATTTTTGCACGATGAACCGGTCACTTTTGCATTCCAATCTGAGAAATGCACTGATGACGTTGATCATCTCCATATACTTGAGCCACAACTGAGCTGTCCATGGTGATATATTATGTTATTAGTTCATTGGAGCACCACTGACAAGTTAACATCTGAAAGTACTCTCTCTTCTCCCATGATGGCCAGTTGTAGCTAATTCTGTGTTTAAGTACCTGTACCCTGAAACTTACAGAATATAACCTAAAAAAAAAAATTGTTCCACTCAAAATATTTTGGAATACTTTTGATATTTGGTTTGATTTCAGTTACAATTCATGGTGGGTTGGCCAAAATTTTTCACTTGATTGATTGGACTATTACATGTAGGGTGATGCATTATTAAGTGCATACTTTTTGACAGAGCAGCGGCTCCAGCATTGGTGAAATCGTTAGTGGTGTCGGCAGCAACAGTGCAGACAGCAGAAAGATGAGAGAAAGAAGTATCAGTGGTGAGAATGGGATGGATAGCAGTAGCACCAGTGATAGCAGCAGCAATGAGGAGGTAAGCCAATGTATAATGTGATAGACAAAAGGGGCAGCCGGATTGCCTCTCAGTTCTGCACCCTGAAAAGCTATACAGTTAACCCTCACTTTACGCGGTTAATGTAACCCGGAGGGTCCCGCGTAAAGTGAGAAACGCGTAAAGTGAATAACATAACATATGGGATTAATTGAAATGGAGTCCGGGCCGATCCCCAAACTCCACTTTTTGACGACACACAACTATGTTGTAGTAAAAATATTATCTTAACTTTATGATGCTATGCACACACAATTAATAATTAAGAGAAATATCAATAATACAGGTAGTTCTGCTATAACGCGATAATTGTGTTCTTGTAAAATATCGTGTTATAGAAAATCGCGTAATAGAAATAACAGGGCTTATGGAGAAAATAGGGTTAGGTGCAGATTACTCGAAATCGAAAAAATTTAGTAGTTAGCCTATTACTAAGGATAGCACAGTCTAAATAAATGTTACATTCATATCTAATAATGAAATCATACAGTAAATTTAACACTTTACCTTGAAAAAATATGAATGTAACTTGATGGGGGAGAAGGGTGATTTTGAGGTTGATAACATCGAGCTTCTCTTCAAGTGATATATCCTTTCTTTTACGATAATCACCGGGAATTCTATCATCAGAACGCTTTTTGGAGATATTCTTCTTTACCATATTCACAGTTAATACCACAAAATTGGAGGAATAGTAAGCAAAAATCGCGTTATAGCAAACAAGCGTTCACGTTATACAAATATTGTTCCGAATTCATAAATCGCGTTAGAGCAAATTCGCGTTATCAAAACACGCGTTATAGCAGAACTCACTGTATTAGGTTTTTTAACACTTACATTAGTAGAAAAAATGGCTGGGCACACGGGGATGGGCGGTTGGTTCCGAGGCAGAGGGCAGATTATTGGCCCTCACTTGTGTCACTTGTATCAATTGTATCACTATCCACCACAGAGGCTTGCAGGGCCTCTTTGTCAAACTCCCCAAAGTCCATATAAGTCCATATCCTCACTATAATTATCACTATCACTGACTTGGGCCGGCTGTGGTGGGTGGCGGGTGAAGAACTGGTAATGTTTTGATGACTGGGCGACCTTGTGCGCATCATGTTCGCGCAGCTTACACAACATGGCGGATGGTGGGAGGTTTGGATCCAAAAATGGCGCGGCTCGCCAGCCGCTCTCCGTGTAAAGGGGTACACGCACCGCGGAATGTGAGCATCCTGGGTTCCGGCAGGGCACCGCGTAAACGTGGAAACGCGGAATGTGGGACCGCGTAAAGTGAGGGTTAACTGTATATTTTTTTTTATTATTATTATTGGGCAACCCCTCCCCTCTTCATCCTTGTGTAAGGTGAAGCGTGGAAGCATTTACAGCGCCCAACAGGGAAGCATGCTAAGTTCATGCTTGCCTATGTCTCATGAGTTAAGGGCGTAGAAGCCTGAAGAGTCAAGGGCGTAGAAGCCTGAAGTCAATGGTTTATGTCTAAGCTAGTTATTGGAAGCTCCAACAACTATCCCTGAATATGATTTTGCAACTTTAGACTTACAGCAGGTACCTAATTTGCTGCTAGGTGAATAGGGACTAAGGGAGGCTGGGAAGTGTGTCCGAACAACTTTCAACCGGCCCGGGAATCGAACCCGTGACATCTCTCTTTTTGAACCATTATTCCCATTAAGGTCAGTTTCTCTATTTTAAAGTGAAAAGGGGGGGGGGGGTGGAAATACCGGTATATTTGACAAACTGATTATCACTGATAGTGTGGAAAAACTTCAAGGGAACTTTAACTCAATTAGAGATGTAAATTTTTTTTTTGTAGAACATGTAGTATCAAAAAGAAACAGGCGAAAGTATTGTTCAGCCATGATAGATCTGATAAGTTAGAAGAGAAATACATAAAATATAATGGTTATTTTTGTTGTGTCCAGGCATGGAATCAGAGACATCACCTGGCCAGGGTAGCTCAAGAGACCGAACCTTCATCACCAGGCAAGGAGGGTTCTCAGGAACAGGAAACTGTGTATCAAGATATATCAGATGATTATAATATGAGACGCGTGAATGAGGTGGCCATGGGCACAACACGTTTAATACATGGATTACTAGGTTTGACTGAGGAGGATGCCATTTATCAAAGGAAGGAGCTATCTCAAGATGAATTTTATGAAAGGCTTAAGTCTCTCAGGAAAAAGGTATTTCTCTTAGCAGATAAAATTAACAAACTCAAAACATCTGCTGATAACATGAAGACTTCAGTTGATGAACTGCAGAGTCATTCACAGCATCTTGTCTCAGAGTACACTCTCTCAAGAAATGGTTTCGAAGACACTAATCAAGATAATGCCAATTCCCTAAAGAAGTTTGCTTCTCAAAGCTTAAATTATCTGTCTGGCACATCATCATTAGCCTTGTATGAGAACCCTTCCATTGGAATTGATGAGTATGATAAATATGTCGAAACATATAATACACTGAGTACCTGGATGGTAAACAGAAGGAACAGAAAACAGCAGGAAGAGGAAGAGGAAATGGTATATGACTCTGAACCTACACAATGGAGAAATGATAAAAGATCTTTCCCTGAATTGCCAGTGATGGATGACATTTCGTTTTCCACTGAAGATGAGCTTCTTACTCCCTTACCCACAGCTTTAGAAGAGCTTACTACCTTATCTACAGCTTTAAAAGATGAGCTTCTTAATACCTTACCCACAGCTTTAAGAGATGAGCTTCTTACTACCTTACCCACAGCTTTAGAAGAGCTTACTACCTTATCTACAACTTTAAAAGATGAGCTTCTTAATACCTTACCCACAGCTTTAGAAGATGAGCTTCTTACTACCTTACCCACAGCTTTAGAAGAGCTTACTACCTTATCTACAGCTTTAAAAGATGAGCTTATTACTACCTTACCCACAGCTTTAAGAGATGAGCTTCTTACTACCTTACCCACAGCTGGTGAAGGCAAGCTTGAAACTACCTCGCCCATCACACCTAAGGCGACAACCCAACTCATCACACCTAAGGCGACAATGCAGCCCAGGACACCTAAGGAGACAGCCCAACCTGACACACCTAAGGCAACAACCTACCCCAACACACCCAGGGAGACAACCCAACCCAGCACACCCAGGGAGACAACCCAACCCAGCACACCCAGGGAGACAACCCAACCCAGCACCCTTAAGGCGACAACCCAGCCCAGCATACCTAAGCAGACAGCTAGCAAGATTTCCCAAGGTGCTGAGAAGTCGTCATTCTCATATCAAAGTAAGTCCCTCATTTGAGATTCTGGTAGTTGGTTATCTTGCTATCTTTATTTTGAGTTTGTTGCTTAGATTGTGCTGTAATTAGACATTGGTACCAATTTAAGGTAAATAGGTGTGTAATTTATTTGCAATTGGCTCCCAGGAATTCCATTACAATTGACCTCACTCAGTAAGTTGCAGAGCCAATACAAATCCCTGCTAATGATGGCAACAAATGCTCTTTATTTATCTCTCACTGCACCTCCACACCCTTACACTATTACTTTTCTTTCTTTTCTTTTATCCTCTTCACCACTGATCGGTTTGTTAGCCGCTTGGGCGATCGGTCACATCTCTGTTACGCACTGTCGGAAAGTACTGGGCCTGCACCAGCTCCTGAATGTACCGGAACCCGCACCAGTGTTGGTCAAGTCTGTTCTTGAAAGAGCTCACACTTGGTGCCGTCACAACACTTTCTGGCAGATTGTTCCAAGAGTTCACAACTCACACCGAAAAAGTTTGCCCTCACAGTTTTCTGGACCTGCGGTTTCTTCAATCTTGAGCTATGACCCAATGTGGGGCGAGCGTCCGCCAGCTCCAAGTAAGGACACTCGACTGAGTAGTGCCCCTTGAGATGCTTATACGCCTCACTGAGTGTGAGCTCTTTCAAGACCAGACTGGGATAAGCACTGGAGCAGGTTCAGATACATTCAGGAACCAGTGCATGCCCAGTACTTGCCAACAGTGCATAACAGAGACGTAACCGATCGCCCAAGCGGCTAACGAGCCAATCAATGGTGAAGAGGATAAAAGTAAAGTAAAGGTGACAGAAATTGTTGCATATAGGCATTATATGGGACAAATAGGAGGTAAGAATATGGGACACTGAAATAAGATCAAGAAGTGAAAGAAGTGTTGGAGAGAGTAAGGATCAGGTTTACTTGGGTTCTCTGGGCATAATGAGGGAACAAGAAGTAAAAATTTATAATTAATAAGTAGAGCATAGCAGGGGGGGAGATCACCAAGATAGAAGGATGTACATTAGTGAGCAGCAGTGAGTGAGAAGAGTGGAGAGCAGTGTTGAGTGATTTTAGAGAAGGCTGGACTGCTGATTGTTGATGTTGGCTTGTGGGAAGTTACAGGGGTGAATCAGATCAGGATGGTAGCTTACTTTGTAACACTGGTTTGAATGGATCACTGGCCTTTTACAGTACAGGGTAAAAAAAAAAATGCATCTATCCAACTGGACAGTGTCTTGGCATTTGGTTGGTAATATTTTCCATGAAGCCAAAATATTAAACTTCATATGTCAAGCCTTTGTTTAATGATATATTTTTTTTAGTTGGATAAATCAGTGCTTACTCATTGAACTTTTTTACTTGCTCTTCCTAAAGCATCTTGTGCCAAATCCTTGAACTAATTTATTAGTAATGTTAATATTTTTTCTAGACAATGTGGTGTTGCTTGTGGGCCTCTCATTGACTGGTCTGACCTTGATATTGGCCTTCATTGGGCTCACCATACTCTACCGGGTCAGTCGGATAAGACGGAAGCTTCGAGAGAGAACCAACCGTCGTTTCCCACGATCTCGCTATACTCACTACAACATTGCATCCATGTAGTATTTGGCTCAACTATCACAAGTATGTTGCTGTGGTCTTATGCTTCATTGGTAACCAGAAAGACTTGGAAAATTTACACTAGAATTTTGTTGGCAATTTTAAAGAGGTTCACTCAGATGTTCTTGTTTCCACTTAGTAACTTACAACATTATAGTTTTGATGCATCAATTTTATGGATGATATAAAAAGCCAGGATGCAGATTTATTAATTTGTATTTGGGAACATAATGTAAGTATTCCTAAAATTAATTTTTTTATTTTTATTTAAGCAACTTACTTTGCAACGTGGGTTGTTTTCACAAGCTAGAATATTTTATTGTACTGTAATAGTTATAATCAATAGGTAAGTAATTTTGTATTTACTTATTGTAGTAAGAACAACATTCTTACTTTCTATGAAATAAAATTAGACTGTCTTGGCTAGAAACTTTTGTACAGGCAGTCCTCGAGTTACCAACAGCCGACTTATGAACATCCACACTTACAAATGGGATCCCAATATATTCATCACAATAATCTGTTACTAAAATCCCATGTCTTACACTAATTTCATTATTCCATATTGTTTAACATCACTTTATTTCCATTATTTGTTATGTATGTGATATTAATGTTTTTTTATGGGTAGGGTTGCGCTTTAACCTAACCTCACCTATGGAATTAACACGGTCCAGGAACTTAAACTGTTCGTAAGTCGAGGACTGCCTGTATTCATTTTGTTGAATTTATAAATTTTATGATCTTGAAACTTCAAAATGAAGTGCAAACATTTGTTTGATTCAAGTACCTACTGTAACTGTGTTTGTTGTTTTTCAGTAACCTAGTAGTACAGTATTTATTTTTTATATAATCAAATTTGAGATTCCATAAATGTTATTTTATATAAGAGTAAATATTATCTATAACTTAAGTGTTGTTTTGTAAAAATTGCCACAAACAAAGAATAATTAGATTGATTAATTTGTAATTTTTTTTTATTTGATATTGAAGCATGATTTATTAATCACAAAACTAATATAATGAATATACTGTAATTTGAAAAGTGTAATGTATATCAGTGTATTGAGTACAGTACAGCATATCTTATTGCTGTCCTATACTTGTTGTGTTTGTTAATTCTGAGACATTAATTCTGTCAGATGTGATCAAACGACATAAAGCATAGGAAAAGGAATGGGATTTTTTCTAACACTGGAATATTTTTAGTATGGTATTTTTACAACATAATTTGATAGTCCAGGGTTTAAACATATCTTTTGAGAGTCCATGTTTAAATGATGGTGAAAATACAATTGTACATACATGATGTGCTTAATTATTTCACATTAAGCAAATGAGATTTTTTTTTAATATACTCTATGAAAGTTTTTATATAAATTTAAATTATGACTTAAGGCTCATTGGTGATAAAATGGACGGTACATGGGGAAATCTTGTTGGTAATTTATTTTGGTATTGAACACTGTGTGGGCTCTGTTACCAAACATCTGCTCAACAAACACTAATTTTTACCTACTGTACATTACCTACGGTACCCTAGAATGCACGGGGAATCGACGAAATTACATTGTCCATTTATGAGAGGAGGACATGTCTCCTCTGTAATTACTAATGCTGTAGAATTTGTAATTGATTTATATATCTGCATGTTGTACAGCGTATTACAATATAATATCTGTTAAATGTGGTCCCCATACTTTGCTTTGATTTTTTTTTTTTTTTACTTTGGGAAAATAGTAGTCAGTTTCACTCTTGTTGCTACAGGGTCTAAGACACTAACTTTGAGATCTACTGATTTCAGGTTTTAACGTGCACGTGTGTGCAGCTGTGTACTAGTTTCTCTTTTAATCTTGTACGTCTTGTATAATGCAGTACTGTACTGTACAGTATACTGTATGTATACAGAAAATATACTGTATTATATTTTCTGTATAGTATATATACTGTACAGTACTGTACTATACAAGACATACAAGATTAAAAGAGAAATTAGTACTTATGTCAGTCAGGTTCGGTAGATGTGAGGATGGACGTATTGGATAATAATAGCTTTTTTAAGTACAGTAGTAGTTGGGGCCAGGTTAAGGGTTTCGTAGCCCCTGGACACTTTTCTATTGTAGGCTCCTAAATTTGCCAATGTACTGTCTATTTATGTGTCTTATTTAAACTTGACCCAAATTGTTCCCTTAGGAATGTGTTTGTTCTCTTAGCACTATAACTAAGCTATAAATTTCTACTTATAATAAAGAATTACTACAATGATGACACTGAATCTGTGTTTACTGAAGAGTTTCTGTTGTTCAGAGAAATGCTCCCCAACAATCATTAAGTGGCAGAATTACTGAAAACTCGAGTAACCAAGGGGCTGGTGAACAGCTTTCCCAAAGTGAATACATAGCTTTTAGAATATATTTTTAAATACTTTCTACCACCTGGAAAGGCGAGAGGTCATTTTCCAACTTGAAAGGTAAAAAAAAAAAAAATAAATAAAATATCTAAGATTTATGATGGGCCAGAGTCACCTTTCATCACTGGCATTACTCAGCCGAGAGAAATCATATTAAAAAGTTGGACTTTGAGGATATTATTGAAGACATTGCTGTAGCCAAGAGCTGGAAAGTGTATTTAGTATAATTTATGAAACTATAATAATTGATGATAAACCGTTCTCGAGTGGAGTTGTTTAATATTCTGATATCTGAGAAAAAATTTACACTTTATAATCATTATGAAAATAAACTTAAAGTTGAGTTTATTTATTCCTTTGTGATTATTTACTCCTTTCTGATTGTATTAGATTTTCGTTTCAAGCCAGTCAGGAGTGGCAAATGTTTAAGCAAATGCATACTAAATTAACTTCTATAACCACTTGGTCATACTACTATAATCTATTTCTCTCGTCTAACTTTATAGATTGTTTTTCATTTAAGAGTATTCTGTTGGCACATAAAACTTCATAGGCCATACCACAGTGAAAGGCATATATCCCAATTTTTTTAGGCCTAAACAGTACCTATTCTCCTTAATTTGACAAAAAGGGGGCTCTGGATCACTAAAATTACCGAAAAAATATGAATTAATTGAGTTTGCAATGTTGTACTTTGACATTATTCAACAATTCCCAAATATTGCTGTTCGATTATTATTCTTGTGTTTTCTGTTGTTTTTGCACTTGGCCATACCTTTGCTGCTGCATAAAATAATGTATTCATAATTACTGTGCAATCAAGTATTTTTTTAAATGTACATATACAGTAATAAATAAATAATGTGTTTGACAGGTTGGTTGCTAAAATACACACAGACAGCTACTGTAGTTTCCCCGCAAATCAACAAACTGGGTAGATTCTCACAAATTAATAGGTAAATAGGCAACCAGAATTAAAGCAGTGTTGAAGGAGTGTGTGTACCGAAGCAAATTCAAAGGAAATTTGTAATCAGCATACGCCACTCAAGATAAGCCCATTCCCTCTGTAGTATCAGTAATAGTGTGTGGACGTGCTTATCACACCATAAAACAGTGTTATCGTGTCTCTCCGTTTTAACACATACACCAGAAACAAGCACCCCTCCCTTACACAACAAGCAAAGCTAGTGGTGGTGGAGGAAGAGCTCATGGACAACAAAAGTGGTGGGATGACAGTGCACAAAAAAAAGCAAGAGAGATAGTGTTCTTTGTTTCACAGTTGTGCCAACAGTAGGAGAGATCGTAGTGTCACAGTGGGTGTCACCAGCATTAGGACGATGTGTCAAGGGTGGTGGTGGAGGCTTCGTGTGCCAGGGTATCGGAATGTGAGGAGAATGGGCATGGGTGTGTGTTCCAGGTGGGCTAGCCAGCTGCTATTGCTACTGCTGGTACTGGTGGACACTGCATGCACAGGTATGTTATTTTTTCTCTCTCTCTCTCTCTCCTTATAAGAGCTGTTTGTATCATACCCATTTTCTAATTCAATGTGCTTAATTACATTTAAATTTTTAGTATTATATAGCATAAGGTACAGTATATTTTATAACCCAGCCTAAGGCAATTTAACCCCATTTAAAGTAATCTAATCCAATCTTCACAGAAAATTATTTAACCTAACCTAATCTAGCCAGTGGCATTCAAACTCTTTGTGTTATATACCATTTACATGATTTTATTTAGTATTTGGGACCTATATTTTTTAGGGGGTAATAATTGGGATGGATTTAAACCAGTAGTGGACAACCTGTGGCCGATCGAGGTTCAGAGTATGGCCACCAAGATTTCTAGTGATACAGTAGCTGTCATTGAGTACTTAATATATATTATAGACAGAAAATGGGAGCACTTGGCGTGGCTACCAATAGTTGCCAATAATAAATATTTTTTTTTTAATTTTTTAAAATTTTCTTGTATTTTGAATAACCATGATTACTACTCACATTATTGATGGGTAATTTTTTTTATATAGTTAATTGAAGATTTAACTTATCCAACACATGTGTTTTCTTGTTTCCTATGTGGTTATCACCATATAGATGGATCACTTCAACTACAGTGATTTATTTGCATAAAAAAATAAATAAATATATCTTTACGCCTGCCTGTCTGCCCGCCCGCCCGCGGTACCCCTGGTAGGGCCCCTAGTGAAGCTGCCACCCTGGGGAGGGGCCCCGGGGGTGCCTCTGGCCCTGTGAGAATCCGTGGCAGCGCGGCCGAACCTGGGAGAGACCCTGGGGGCCTCACTGCCCTTGAGAGGGCCCTTGGGGGTGCTTCCGCCCCTGGGAGGGCCCCTAGGAGCTCCACCGCCCCTGGGAGGGCCCCTAGGAGCTCTGCCGCCCCTGGGAGGGCCCCTAGGGTTGCCACTTCCCTTCAGAGGGCTTTTGGCGATGCTGTGGCCCTTGGGAGGGTCCCTAGGGGTACCACAGCCCCTGGGAGGTCCCTTAGGGGCACTACCACCCCTAGGACCCCTGGGGGCACTGCCGCCCCTGGGAGGGCCTCAGGGTGCCCCGTCGCTCTTGAGAGGGCCCCTAGCGAGACCATGGACCCTGGGAAGTTTCTCTCAGGGTACTAACATCCCCAAGGGGGGCCCCTTTGGGCGCTGCCGCCCCTGGGAGGACCCCTGGGGTTGCAACCGTCTTTTGGAGAGCCCGGATGCCTCTGGGAGGGCCCCTGGTGAGGCCGCCGTGCCTGGGAAGGCCCCTAGGGGCCTCACTGCCCCTGAGAGGGCCCTTGGGGGTGCTTCTACCACTGCGAGGGCCCCTTGGGGCGCCGCCGCTCAAGAGTGGACCTCTGGGAGCGCCGCCACATCAGGGAGGACCTCTGGGAGGATCCCTGGGGTCAGCGCCACCCCTAAGGAGGGACTCTGGTGTAGCCGCCGACCCTGGGATGTCCTCTGTGGGCGCCGCTGCCCCTGGGAGGTCTGCAAAGGGCACCGCAGCCCCTGGGAGGGTCCCTTGGCGGCCGCTGCCCTTAGGAGGGCCCCTGAGGGAGCCTGTGCCCCTGGGAGGTCCGCAAAGGGCACCACAGCCCCTGGGAGGGTCCCTTGGTGGCCGATGCCCTTAGGAGGGCCCCTGAGGGAGTCTATGCCCCTGGGGGCGACACTGCCCCTAAGGAGGGACCCTGGGGGCGATGCTGCCCCTAAGGGGGACCCTGGGGGTGCCATCGCCCCTAGGAGCAGTTGTTTTTGCACTATTTAGAATTCTGGAATATATGACGTAAAATAAATACACCGCCCACAGCAGTTCCAGTATCATTGCATCCTGAACAGTGAAAAAGGGAATAAATATCCAACAGGAAAACATAAGTTGGGGTTTGTGCTGACTGATTGCTTTCCTCTCCTATTGGCTGGGAGGGTCCTTGGAGGTGCCACCACTCTTGGGAGAACCCTTGGCGGCGCCGCTGCCCCTGGGAGGCCCCTGGGGGTGTCGCCGCGCCTGGAGGGCCCCTGAGGACGCCGCTGCCCTTGTGAGGGCCATTGGGGGTTTCACTGCCCATGGGAAGGCCCCTGTGGATGCCACCGATCCTTGGGAGAGCCCCTGGAGGAACAGATGCCTCTGGGATGGCCCCTAGTAGCGCCAACCCTAGGCTGGCCCCTGGGGGTGCCACCGCCCCTGGAAGGGCCCCTACAGAGCTCCTCGGGATGCCACCGCCCCTGGAATAGCCCCTTGGAGTGCCCCTGTCGGCACCAAAGCCCCTGGCAGGACCCCCTGGGGGCTCCGCGGCCTCTAGGCATCATGCTCAGGAGTACCTATAATGTTATTTTCAACAAACCAATAAGTGGCGAGTAATTAGCATTGCAAAAGTAATAACATTTTCTAAAAGCCATTTGAACACGTAATAATCCAGATATAAAATTTTGGTTAACAGAGCCTTAATCAGCATGTTCAGGAGTACCTATACTGAGATTTTGAACAAAATCCATTTTTTGGCCGAAATGACAAAAATTGTAAGTCTAAAGCCTTAAAGGATTTTTGGCCAAAAATACTTTTTCTCTCTGAACTAAAATTTAATGTGCCTAACTATTTAAGTACATCCAGAATAATACACAAGCACCAAGAAATGACCTCGAAAACCCATAAGTGGCGAGTAATTAGCATTGCAAAAGTAATTAAAATATTCTAAAAATCATTTGAACATTTTCTAAAAGCCATTTGAACAAGTTATAATCAAGATATCAAATTTTGGATAACAGATCCTTAAGCAGCACATTCAGGAGTACCTATACTGAAATTTTGAACAAAATCCATTTTTTGGCCGAAAATGACAAAAATTGTAAGTCTAAAGCCTTAAAGGATTTTTGGCCAAAAATACTTTTTCTCTCTGAACTAAAATTTAATGTGCCTAACTATTTAAGTACATCCAGAATAATACACAAGCACCAAGAAATGACCTCGAAAACCCATAAGTGGCGAGTAATTAGCATTGCAAAAGTAATTAAAATATTCTAAAAATCATTTGAACATTTTCTAAAAGCCATTTGAACAAGGTATAATCAAGATATCAAATTTTGGTTAACAGAGCCTTAATCAGCATGTTCAGGAGTACCTTTCCTGAGATTTTGAACAAAATCTATTTTTTGGCCAAAAATCCTTACAATTTTTGGCATTTCGTCCAAAAATAGATTTTGATCAAAATCTCAGTGATTCAAGAGAAAAAAGTATTTTTGACCAAAAACATCTTCAAGACAATAGACTTACAATTTTTTCATTTCACTAAAAATGGATTTTGTTCAAAATTCAGTATAAATTGCTACCTAAATACTTACCCAGGATCTATTAACCAAAATTTGAATCTTGATTATAACTTACAATTAAAATGACTATAAAACAAATGATTTTAGAATATTTTAATTAACCAATGTAAATTACTAACCACTTATGGGTTTTCGGTCATTCTTGTGCTTGTGTATTATTCTGGATATTGCTTAAATAGTTAGGCATTAAATTTTAGTTCAGAAAAAAGTATTTTGGCAAAATCGCTTTTAAGCATCCAAACTTACAATTTTGTCATTCACCAGACCAAATGGATTTTTGTACAAAAATTCAGTATACCTACTCCAATACCTTGGATCTGTTAACTAATTCGATATCCTTGATTAACGCTCAAATGGCTTTAGAAAATGTTCAAATGATTTTTAGAATATTTAATTACTTTTGCAATAACAATTACTCGCCACTATGGGTTTCAAAATTCATTTAGTGCTATCTCCCGTATTTACTTAAATAGTTGGGCACATTAAATTTTAGTTCAGAAAAAAAATATTTTCAACCAAAAATCCTTTAAGGCAATAAACTTACAATTTTTTCATTTAAAACAAAAAAAATGGATTTTATTCAAAATTTCGAAGTATAGGTACTCGAATTAATACCTTAAGATCGTAACCAAAATTTGATATCTTGATTATAACTTGTTCAAATGCTTTTGAAAATGTTTAAATGGTTTTTAGAATATTTTTAGTACTTTTTGCAATACTAATTAGTCGCCCACTTATGATTTTTCAAAGGTTATTTCATTGTATCATATTATTGGATGTTATTTTAATTTGGATTCAGAGAGAAAAAGTATTTTTATTGCAAAATCCTTTAAGGCAATAGACTTACAATTTTGTCATTTTCGGCCAAAAATGGATTTTGTTCAAAATTTCAGTATAGATTGCTCCTGAATGTGCTGTAGGATCTGTTAACCAAATTTGATATCTTGATTATAACTTGTTCCGATAGCTTTAGAAAATGTTCAAATGATTTTTAGAATACTTTAATTACTTTTGCAATGCTAATTACTCGCCACTTATGGGTTTTCGAGGTTATTTCTTGGTGCTTGTGGATTATTCTGGATGTACTTAAATAGTTAGGCACATTAAAATTTAGTTCGGAGAGAAAAAGTATTTTTGGCCAAAAATCCTTTAAGGCAATAGACTTACAATTTTTGTCATTTTCGGCCAAAAAATGGATTTTGTTCAAAATTTCAGTATAGGTACTCCTGAATGTGCTGCTTAAGGATCTGTTAACCAAAATTTGATATCTTGATTATAACTTGTTCAAATGGCTTTTAGAAAATGTTCAAATAATTTTTTGAATATTTTAATTACTTTTGCAATGCTAATTACTCGCCACTTATGGGTTTTCGAGGTCATTTCTTGGTGCTTGTGTATTATTCTGGATGTACTTAAATAGTTAGGCACATTAAATTTTAGTTCAGAGAGAAAAGTATTTTGGGCCAAAAATCCTTTAAGGCATAAGACTTACAATTTTTGTCATTTTCGGCCAAAAAATGGATTTTGTTCAAAATTTCAGTATAGGTACTCCTGAATGTGCTGCTTAAGGATCTGTTAACCAAAATTTGATATCTTGATTATAACTTGTTCAAATGGCTTTTAGAAAATGTTCAAATGATTTTTAGAATATTTTAATTAC